ACCAACCTACATGTAAGTTGGAAGACCTTGTTAGCTCGCCAAGAGCTTATTCCTTCATCCTTACTTTCTTCACCAAGAGCAAAAAAAAATAATATTCCATATTCTCAATACTAGAATGTACATCAAGAAGAAAAGGAGTTTATATACAAAAAGAAACAAGACAAGAAAAGAAAAATAATAAGGAATAAAAATAGGGGAACCAGAAAATGTAAAAAAAGAAAAATAAAGAGATAAGCCCTGACAGGCTGAACAAGAAAAAACTATTTCCTGTGAAAAATAGCAGCTACTTCTATCAATAAATAGCACAAAGATGAACAAAAAAAAGAAAAAAAAAAGTACACTATTATAACCCATACCAGGCAAGTATAAAAATTATATAACAAATACAACATTTGTATATCTCTACTATAAAGCTTCACCTTAACGTTATAGTTTCTTTTCGACCGTATGACCGACTCTGGAATATTTGGTTCTGACCTAATCCATATCTCGAGCCAGGTGTTGCCGCCATCTGTAGACCCGTATCTCAAGCCACCTACTGCCGCCATTAGAACTTGGGATCTGTCCAAATTAGTAGTACCATATCCATCAAACACATGGTTGTAATCTATTTGGCTATCTGGATTTGAAATGTAAACACCATCGATCTTTTGGAGGGGGTAAGCCAAATTCCCACTTTTTGAAAAAAAAATTTTGGAAAACCAAAGAAAAGCGGAAATGAGAAGAAAGAGTTGCAAGTACTTTCAAAATTTTCAAATGAGTGTGTTGAAAAAGCAGAGTTTCTTGTTGTTTTCCCTTTGTTCTTCATTAAAGTAATGGCCTAACAGCTTCGTCGACAGAGTTGGGCCTCCCCACCCATACTCCACCAAGATTTTTTATACAAGAGCACTGCCTGCCAGTTATCTTGTATAATAATACTCCTGGTTTGCATGCCAAACATCCTTTTAGAAGAGTTCTCAAGAGTAGTAGTTGACCTCTAGACAAACCACTGTTCAGGCCACAACTTTCCAACAAGTAGTTCTGTTTTTTCTTTAGTAGAGAATTTTGGTCCAGGTGATCGTTGAGAAGAGTTCTGATTTTTTTTATTTGATAAGTTATAAATTTTATATTTTGTTTATTTAAATAAAGTTTAGCTTTTTCGAATTAATTCGAAAATATTTAATAAATTGTATAATTATTGCGTTTTAATATATTTTCTATTATTTATATTTTATTTAATTTATTTCAAATTAATTCGAAATATCCTGATATATTTCAAATAGTATCTGATAAATTCAAATTGATTATCATTTCTTTCTCATTGGTAGCTATCTTTTAGTTTATAAATATTTGCTTTTTTGATGCATTTACGTTTATTCGAATTGTTTCAAACTAATTCGAAATATTGCGCAATTTATAGTGCAATATTGCACTATAAGTTTCATAATTTTGCGTAATATATTTTGTAATATTACGTTATATTGTGCAATATTTCGCAACTTTTTGCGCAATATTATATCCAGACTGTAATTATTGCGCAATATTTCAGGCGTAATAACTTATATAAGATTACGTTAATATATTTCGCTAATGTATATACTGATAATCATTAATATATAATATACTATGAAATTAAATGAATAATGTCATTACATATATACTAGCAAAACATCACTAAGACGAACATTTTGGTAGTTAAATCATTCAAAATGGATCAGTAAATCAAAAGTTATTTAACTTTAAAATTATTATTTTTTTTTTGGTATTAAGGTGACCTCATTGGCCTGAGGACTTTTTATTAGAGTATAGATGATGTTTTATAGTGTAATTACAATGATGATACATCAAGCCACACGTGCACTTTTGGTGCCTAATTTAAGTGGTCTGCCTGAAACGTTAGTGCTATGCTAAGGGTTCCACACTATCTGCCGTACCTGCACCTCAACTACAGAGGTACTCATTTAAACTATCTGGTTCTAACTACTATCATTAGCTCTCTAACTCGTGGGTATTACTTACTATTCATATGTGAATTTTGCATCTACCCGCATTGGATTTTGCACCCTACCTTAGGACTTACTAACATTAAGCTAGTCTATCTTTGAGGTAAACCTAACACAGCGGTACATGTCCCACACATGTATTCACCTGCATGTTTCTATAACTTCTTTTTAATTAGTACATATTGACCTGCCGTTCCGTATATGTATCTCATACCACCTTTTGGAGTGCTGCCATTCTACAGACATTTCTTAAGCACCAATCTTTCTAATCAGGCGTCCATTATATACTCCTTGCCCTTATTCGGTTTACAACAACCCAATACCCACATTTGGACCATCTTCTTACCTGGATTTGTTATTGGTTCCTCCCTTACTTCCAGCCGGCAACCCGGAAGGGTCAGTCTGCCCAGGCTTTAGATGCCTGAAAGACGCCCCCTTTGGTTCATACTTTCAGAGCATATATCCTTTTCCTCCGGTGCGACAACCCGGCAGTTCGGCTGATGTGTCCTCCGCTAGCGGACCTGGTCGCTCGGTTCTCCAATCTCAGGCCCCGGTTCGAATTTAGCCCTCCTGTGGTATCGTCAAAGATTACTGCTACTAGTGTTGTAAGCCGACTAGGGCAGCCGCAGCTAAGCCGGCTTAGCCGACTAAGCCAGCCAAAATAATATGGTCGACTGGCTAATGCGGCTAAAGGCCACATGATTCATGAATAGTAGGATTACGATAAATTCCGAGAAGGAAAATAAATAAACATAGAATAAATATGAAAATTTTCTGAAGTATTCCAAAAAGTATACTGTTAGCCAGCCACTTAGCTGATGTTTTAGTCGGCTGGCTTAGCCAGCCAACTAAAGTCATGCGGCTTACAACACTAACTGCTACCTCCAAATTCGGGACTTGCCAAATAGGTTTTCGGTTATACCAGTTCCTCGGATTTATTGCACCAAAGCTCCCATTACTAGATGGTGTGACTGAAGTTACAGATTAGATTCAACCAATAAGCATAGCCGTCAACTGAACACAGGCCCATTTTTCAAATATCGTCGCCAGTGGGATTTGAACTCTAGATCTGCTACTTGGAGAGGGTGATAACTAGACTACTACACTAAGTTGCCACACCTCTTTAAATAATAATTATAAAATAATTAAATAAAATAATAATTTATAAAAAATTAAACACATAATCTTAATAATTTTGATTCCATAAATATTCTACTTATTTAAATTCTATTCTAACTTTATTCTTTCGAATTTTATTCTAACCTTGTTCTTTTGAATCTTATACTAACTTTATTCTTTCGAATTCCAATCTAACCTATCTTTGCAAATTCCATTCTAACTCTATCTTTTTGAATCTAATTCTGACTCTATTCTAATATTCTAATCACATTCTATCTGTTCTTTAGAATTTTATTCTGACTCTATCTTAACCTAATCTATTCTAACTCTATCCTAACTCTATGCATTATAGCAGATATTTGGAGACAATTCCCATTTGGTGCTGTATCGTATAAGGTTTAAGTTAGCATTTGTGCATTTTTTGTTAGTAAATTTCACTTAATACGATATTTGCTAAATGAACCAACAGTAAGAATTACCAATTATTAAAAATAGACTATCTAAGCTAGATTTGATAACAACAAAATTTATGTTAGATATTACGCTTTCATAGTATAGATATTGAATTCTTGTATATAATTGTAAAGTTCTTATATGTGGTGATCTTGTGCCTAAATTTTATACCAGGTTTAATAACTTCTATTATTGCAATACAACTGTTTCATAAATTCGGGGGTAGAGTTAATACCTGAATCTGGATCCTAATTACAAGATCCAGATTCTAATAATAAGATCTAGATCTAATCACAAGATCTGAATTCTAATAATAAAATCTGGATCTAATCATAAAATCCGGATCCTAATAATAATAAGATACGAGTTTCTATAATTCTGGAACACTTGAAAATTTTGCTCGGTTTCTAAATCTTTTTGGCTTCATTCTAAAAATCACCAATTATTTGAAAACCACATCGCTATAAACTCATATCTAATTATTGAAATCTGGATCTTATTATTAGCATCTGGATCTTATTATAGGATTCAGATCTTATAACTAGATTCAGATCTTATTATTAGGATCCGGATCTTGGGATTAGAATCAGATCCAGGTATTAACTCTATTCTGGGGTATCTACGATTACTTATTTTTTAAACCATTTTTAATCTTGTTCTATGAATTATCCAACTTTAGAAACTACTTTATTGTCTTTGAAAGCAACATAATTTTAAAAATTCTGATAAGATTTAAGAGGTTTCGAGAAACAAACAAATTTTAGATACTCTAGAATTTATGAAAATATTTATAATTGCCAAAGAAAGATGCACAAAAATATTAGCATGTAATATTGGTAATATGTAATATTAGTAATACCAATGCCGGCAATAATAACATGACAGCCTTGACAAAAGAAGTGTAAAAGAAATAAAATGTCTATACCTACAAGCGATAGTGCTGATAAATATAAGACAGTGATATGCGACATATATTACAAACAATAACACTAGTTAACAAAAGTAGTACCAGCTAATGAACTGATAAGGAAAGACACCAAAAAATGATAGTATCAACATGCAACGAAAAGCTAAAAAATGGTTTAGAAAAAAAAATTCAATTAAAAAAAAAAGTGCAAATTATATGTAGATCTATGTAAAAATATTTACAGTTATATATACAGTACTCTGATTGTTCAATGATCATGCATATTAGCCAATCACATTAATACTTCTTATATAATCAGCCTTTAGGCAGACTTTTTTTTTTTTGAAATTAAATCTATTATCCTTGTATTATTTACTTTATATTATAGGAGAAGAACTTACAATTTCTTACATACAAGATGAGAACAGCTTATTGCCACTTTAATCATGCAGACAAAAACTTCAAGAATAGAAATATAAAATTAAACATGTAAAAATTTTTAATATGCTTATATTCTTATTATGTCTTATTCGGTCTTGTTACAATATCTTCCAAATTTTACAATATTGCAACGAATCACTCGAGGGTCTGAATTTAATTTTTTCTTTATTTCAGCCAATACCACTAGGTTAGTATCAAAATGTATTAACTAAAAATGTCCATCAGTGTGATATTCTTGATGCCTTCGTGTTCTGGTAGCTAATGGCATAGTTCCCCAATGCTTAAAGTCTCTAAAAACACCACCCTGTTCTAATATATATTTGGCCATAATTTTAACTAAATTTTTTAAATTTGCCTTCATTAGATTTGCTCGAGAAATGCAAAGAAACTAATAAAAACCTATATTTTTTAGGTTACATTAGGCAGACTTTTGAATGATTAGCTATTTAGATCAATTTAATTTTACATTATTTATACAGTTTAAGAATAAACAAAAAAAAAAAAAAAAAGTATATAAAAAGTTTTATTAGGGTTATAGGACTTTGCTATTGAAAATAATTCAAATCCTTTTTTGTTTTAAAAAAATTAACATGGTGATAATCTAATTCTATCTATTATTAAGAAGTCACTATTATGCTTACTTCTCTAAAACAAAAAGGGATTTGGATTATTTTTAATAGTAGAGTCCTACAACCTTAATAAAACTTTCTATATACTGTATAAATAATGTAAAATTAAATTGATTTAAATAGCCAATAATACAAAAGTCTGCCTATGACCCTCACCCACCTAGTTTATGAGGGTTACTATTCTAATTTTAGATTTTGTACACTATTATTTTCATTAAATAGAAAATTACATTATATATATAGCAATATATAATTAGTATAGTATATTATTACATTATATTTAACTATAAGTATTTAATTATTAGTTGAAACTGGATAGTGAAGCTACTTGAAAAGTTTATCATCAAAAATCTATTGCGATGGGGACATCTATAGAATATTTAGTATTAAATATTGTTATGAAAATAAAATTAAAGTTGAGAAAGACTAGAGTTAAAAGAATAAACTAGAAATTTATATATTATCAACAATTTGCAGAGAGGTAAATATTGAAGGAACATACGTATAATATTGAATATTGTTATTTATAGATTTGAGTTTATTAAAAATCTGCAAAGATAGGAATCGCTAGAAAATACTTTGTTGAATATTTTGATGAAATTGAAGTTAAAAAAGATGAGCATAAAACATTTACTTATTATCAAAAATCTGCTGAGATGGGTAATTCCAATAGAACACCTACCTTAGTAATCATTTTAAAAATGTAATTAAAGAAATAAGCATTTATTATCAAATATAGGTAATGCTCGCACTTAGTAGCTATTATAAAATGAAATTAGTGTTGAATATAATGTGTTTATTTATTACAAAAAATCTGTAGTGATAGGAAATGTTGGTGGAATACTTAACATTAGAAATCATTATTGAAATAGAATTGAAGAGTATTTTAATATTAAATTTTATACTAGCTAGAAATAAATATAAGTTGCTTTATATATAATATTAGTCTTGGCGAAGTATTATTAATGATAAATTCTTTGAATGTATTTAAAAACTAATATATAGGCAGCAAAGTTTTATTTATATTACTGATAATAATAAATTTGTAATTCTATAGACGTTCTATATTATATATAAATATAACTATAAATTTAGGTTTATTTGTTGTTAAATTTATTAAATAAGTAATTATATGAGAATTAAATAATGATTGTATAATAGTCTTAGTAATGTAATTATATAATAATTGTAAATTAATTGTATAATAATTGTAAATTAATTGTATTATAATTATAAAATAATTTTATAATAATTTTATATAATAATCATAAATTAATTGTTTAATAATTGTAAATTAATTGTATTATAATTATAAAATAATTTTATAATAATTTTTATAATAATAATATAAGAATGACAATTACTATTTGTACACGGGGTGTTTAAACACGTAGTTATACAAACTAAATAGAAAAGCCAATTAAAATATAAAATTAAATACAGTATGTAGATCATTTTTTGTACAACAAAAATAAAGAAAAAAATAAAAAATTAATAATATTTAAAAATTTAGCTTATAAAACCATCTTTTGAGATCTAAAAAAAAAAATTCCTTGTAAAATTTTACTATAAACTATGCTTTTTACTAACTATAACCTCCAATTCTAACACTAATATTAATTAAAATATTTAATGTTTACTTCTATTTTTAATAAAAATTAATTATAAATTATACCTGTGTTTCAAACACCCATGTATATTTAGTAATTTTCTATAAGAATTATAAACTTGTATTTTATAATTATTATATAATTATTATAAGCTTTAAACATATTATTATTGTAATATAATGGTATTATTATTGTATATTTTACAATAATCTTAGTGAGCTTAAAACAATCTAAAATCATCAGATCTACAACTTTAATGCATTATAAAATCCTTGAAAAAAAATACAGAGTTTTTGTAAAGTTAGTCTTTTAAAAAGAGCTGTTGTTTGTTTTGCTAATACTGCACTTGCAAGTAGTTTGGTTTCTAATATACCTCTATATGCTAGAATACTGTTTGTTACTGTTTGTGCTATTTTTAGCTTTTCTTCATTAACTGTAGAAAAGGTTGATGGATTGTATTCAATTCACTTTTTGTTAATGTTACAGTTTGTAGAATATACTCCAACTTGGAAATTAGGATCTGGTTGTTTATATATACTAACTAGCTCACTGTGGATTTTTTTCTTTCTAATTTACAAGTAAACAAATCTACAATTTGGTTTATTTTTTTTTTGATATCTGCTATCTCTTTCTTAGTATAAAGAAAGGTTCCAAGAAACTGTAGTTCATGCGATTTTTTGCTTAGTGTATTCCTATATTTTACTTGTCTATCAACTATTGGAAGCTTTGAGTTTAACACTATTAACTTTAATTTATTGCCATTAATTTCTATATTATTTAGCTAGAAAAACTGATCTGCTACTTGAATTGTTTGCTCTAGCTAATCCTTCAAACTTGCAATCTATATGGTGTTGTTAGTGTATACAAGAACTGCTTGTCTAATACTTTTTAGTTTTTCAATTTTTAACAGATCTTCCATTTGTACTGATACTTTTATTCTATAATTCAAACTTTTATTTTTCTGTATCTTATCTAACAAAGAATCATAAAGGATTCTCCAAAAAAAAGAAAAAATAGCTTTGCCTTAATTAATACCTCCTTTTGCTCTGACTTCTTGTGTTAAACTATATGCTATTATAACTTTTAGTCTTCTATTTTCAAATAGGTTATGTTATGAATTAGTCTGCAGCATATGTCTAGAATTTTGATTCTTTTTAGCACTTTTTACAACATGATTAGATTTACAGAGTTAAAGACCTTCTTCATATCCTGAAACAGGATCCACAATTCTTGCTAGTTTTCTTTTGTCTTCTCAAGTAAGGCTTTAAGGATATGTACTGGCTCTTCTGTAGAGTTTCCTGGCAACTCTGCAAAATTGGGGCCTTGGAGGATCTTCTTTTCTTTAATAATCTTGCTTAATCTCTTTGTTAAAATTTTTGTAACACCTTTTCTAAAAACTTCTACTAGAGCAATTGGTCTAATTTTATCCAAACTATACTCCTAGTTTTGTCTCTTTGGAATTAAATACTTTTTTATTTACTTGAAACATTACTAACTCATAAATACACTTCTACAAAGTTTTTAAAAACTTGCTATGTTTTTGTATTTGCTTGCTTAAAAAGTGCATATATGATTGTTGATATTTCTGGTGCTAAATTCACCTTACTCTTATTTAATATTAACTACCACTCATCTAGTGTGATTGGTTGTATTACTAGATTATACTAGGCTTTTAGGATATAATCTTTTGGCTAGTATTCTTTAGACTATAAATTCTCTATTTCACACTGTCATTTTTCCTATTTATAAACTGGTTTTGGAAATACGACTGAACTTCTTCCAGGACTTCTACCGGGCTGGTTAAAAGATTTGTTAACTCCTAGTTTTGCGTATGTACTCTATCTAAAACTACTTTACAGTAGAGTCACTCTAACAAGCTAGCTAACATTTTCTTTTGCTCCTTTACAATTTGCTTAGCTCTTTTTTGAATATATTATTGTATTTTTTTTTTTTTAATCTTTTTGCTATTTACTACTAGCTTACTCTCAATTACTTTTTATCAGATTATTGCATCTTCTTGCTATTCTGATAGCTTTTGTATCTCAATTTCTTTAACACTACTATCTGCTCATATATTAACTTGTTTAATTCTTTTATTCCATTGCTATAACTTTTCATGAAGCTTTTTTTTACTTGTTGATCTCATTTCTCTAACTATTTTGTCTAACATAAAAGCTGCTTTAAAGAACTTGTTTTTTCTTTTCTTGGGATTAGGCTTTTTTCAAAATCTACCACCTTGTTTGGCAAATTTTTCTAACTTGCTTTAAGAATTGCTTTTTCTATTAAAAACCACATTTGGTTCAAGTTTGTCTCTATTTGGTCTAGAGATTCTGGATCTGTAACTAGTGTGTCTCTTTTTAGTGCAGATAGCACTCTATTGTTCAAACCTTTTCATAAACCTTTATGGTAATTGTTCTAGTTTTCTTTTGTGGCCTTTTCAAGTTTCTAAACTTTTTGTTTAGCACTAGATACTGCTTCTCTTGTTTGACTATTTGATGAGACATTTGGGCTCCATTCACATTTTACAAATGCAAGATTATAATCGCTTCCTGTTACTGTTGACATATTACAGATTTCTGCTTCTTGTAATATATTTATCATATTACTTGATGATCAAATTTGATCTATTCTTGTTGCTACTAAGCTATTGCTCCAAGTAGACTTCTTTTTATATAGTTTAAAAAATCTAAAAATGTTCAAGAAACCTTTTTCTTTAAACCAACTATGTATTGCTAGTCTTCTATTATTATCAATTTGTAATGATTTATCTAATACTAAGTTGACTACATAATTAAAGTTTCCCAATACTACTATTTATACATCATTTTGTGCTTCATCTTTTCTACTTTAAACTATGGCTAATAACTCTTTTGCCATCTCTATATTGCTTAGTGGAATATATAGTGCAATTATTATTAGCTTGTATTTTTTAAAATAAAAATATACTACTAGCAGAAATTCATTTGGTTTTTCAATTTTGCCAACATGTTTCTCTAGTTCTTCTCTTACTAACAAACCTATACCAAATCTCTTCTTTTTTATTTTTGAAGCTAGTGACCAAATCTCTCTAAAACTAATATGGTTTTAAA